CAGCTGTCCTGGAACTCACTATGTAGACCAGGCTGGCCTTGAACTCACAGAGATCTGCCTGCCTCTGCCTCTGAGTGCTGGGACTAAAGGTGTGTGCCACCACGCCTGGCTTTAAAACATTTTAAAAAGTTATTTTTATGTGTATAAGTGCCTGCATGTATGTAAGTGACCACATGTCTAGTGCCCTTGGAGGTCAGAAGAGGGCGTTGGATCCCCTGGAACTGGATTTGTGGACAGTTGTTAGCTGCCACGTGGGTGCTGGGAACCAAACCCAAATCCTCTACTCTTAACTACTGGACCACTGGGCAGTCTCTGCCACTCCTTTTGGTTTTTTTTTTTTTTTTTTTCGGTCTTTTTGAGACAGGGTCTCCCTGTAACCCCAGCTGTCCTGGAACTCACTATGTAGACTGTAGACTAGGCTGGCCTTGAACTCACAGAGATCCACCTGCCTCTGCCTCCTGAGTGCTGGGACTAAAGGCCTGCACCACCACACTGGCCTCCTTTTGTTTTTTGAGACAGGCTTTCATTATGTAGCTCAGGCTGGTCTGGAAGTCCCAGAAATCCTTCTGCTTCAGCCTCAGAAGTGCTACCTGGTTCCTTATGTTCACATCTTTGAAAAATACTGAGTGTGTTTAAAATCTGAAGTTTATAGGTGCATTTTAAATTGGTTAACTGTTAAGGACTTCTGACAAAGATTGCATTTCTAATTAGTTAATCATGTAGAACATGGGTTGATTCATTATATTAAAGAGATACTGATGAGTGACTTCCTTAAAAATTAATGAACTGTAAAATTTATTTTTATGTGTATGAGTGTATTGCCTGAATGTAAGCGCACCTGTGCTGTGCAGTGCCCACGGAGGTCAGAAGAGGGCGATGGATCTCCTGGAACTGGAGTTACAGAAGGTTGTTAGCCTCCATGTGGGTGCTGGGAATCAAACCTGGGTCCTCTGCAAGAGCAGCCAGTGCTTTTAACTACTGAGCCATCTCTCTAGCCCTGAACTTAAAAATTTTTGTTTTCGGTAATGAAGGGTAGATTATAGCTGGTCCAGTTCTATTCGATATCCAAATAAACCCTCCTTTATCCTTACTCTTTTATTGCTTTGAGAGTATTGAATTTTGAGTATATCTAGAGAATGATTAATTACTTGGTGAATAAAGTTTTCAAAGTTTGAGTGAAGCTGCTTCTAGGTTTTGGCAGGTTCAAGGACAGCAGGCTTCTAGCATTTCCATTCTAGTCTGGGAGAAGCATGTTTTATTCTGGTACTGAAGATGACTTCAGTAATGTGTCCTCTGTCACGTTACTAATTGTGCAAAATGAAAGCTTCGTGCTTTCTGATGTTAGACCTCTGGGTTCATATATTTTCCAAATTTAATGCTTCTGTAATGTTGCTAGGTTGAATCATCTCATTTGTCTTTAGTGTTTTGGGGGTTCTTCATTTTATTTTTATTTTTAAAGTTTTAAAAAATTTATTTTGTGTGCGTGTGTGTGAACACATGCCTGCCGTAGTAGGTGTATGGAGATCAGAGAACTTGAAGGAGTCAGTTCTCTTTTTCTACTATGTGAGTCCTGGGGATGGAACTGAGGTCTCAGGCTTGGTGGCTGGTGCCTTGACTCACTGAGGGCACTCACTGTCCCTAGTTTTTAGTCTTTAATAGGATTCACTATAGCTTCTTGTAAGTAGTGAGTCCTAAGTTACCATTTCCTACCTATTTGGTGCTTGTTAAAGTTAGATTATATTATTCCAGCCTGCTCTTAGTTTATTGCATTAACACTGGGGAACTGCTAGTTTCCTCCCTTCCTTCAGTTAATGTAAGGTGTGGGTTTTGGTCAACATAGGTCCAGTTTACCAATCCATCATGGAACATAAACTTGTTGGAAAAGTGCTTATGTTAGAACAGTTTTGAACAAAATTGGAACTTTAGAACAAAGATTAGACATCGCCACTTCTTTTGTTCTTTAGATTTTTCTTTTTTGCCTTTTTTGTATTCCCAGGATATTGCAATAAATACTTGCAGAATTATTTCTCTGTAAAGAAAATGGTTAGTAAGTTAACAGACTAGGCAGGGAAGAGAAAAAATTCACATAAATGGCTATAGATGTAAATTTGAAAGTGTCAAGATACTCATTTTCTTGAACTGAAAAATGCCATTGTGAAACATAACTGGGCTTGGCAAACATTTTCAGTAAAGGGAAATATAGTAAATACTTTGGTCTTTGCTGGCTACATGCTTAATCCCATATTCTTTGATGTTGTTTTGACTCTTTAAAATATTTTTATTTTATGTGTATTAGTATTTTGCTTGCGTATATGTAAGTGTACTACATGGATGCAGTGCCCACAGAGGCCAGAAGAGGGGGTCATATCCCCTGGAACTGGAGTTAGGGATGGTTGTTAGTCGCCATGTGGGTGCTGGGAATCAAACTTAAGTCCTGGAAGAACAGCAAGTGTTCTCAACTTAATGCTGAGTCTCTCCTGCTCTTGTTTTGACTCTTTAAAACTGTAAAAGTTGCTTGGTGTGGTGGTGCCCACCTTTCCACCTTTAATCCCAGCACCCAGGAGGCAGAGGCAGGAGGATCACTGTGAGATCAAGGCCAGCCTGGTCCAGCTGGGACTGTAGGGAGACCCCATCTTGAAAGACCAAAACTCCCCAAACAAATGAATTGTAAAAGCTGCATCTTGAAATTTGCCCACTCTGAAGTAGAGCTGGTATTTCAGGTGTAGCCCAGCTTTTTTGGAGCTTTTTGTAGCCCAGTCTGTCCTCAAATTCAGAACAGTGTTCCTGGAGCTTCAGCATGCCGTGTTTCAATTTTTTAGTTTAAAAACGTATTTTCAAAAGTTGACCATTTGGGGCTAGAGAGATGGTGCAGTGGGTAGAGGCACTTGCTGTCAAGCCAGACTACCAGAGTTTTGTCCCTAGGACCCACATGGTGGAAGGAGAGAACCAAGTCCCAAAAGTTGTCCTCTGACCTCCACATATGCACTCTGGCAAATACGTACCTATGCATACCTGTACATACACACAGAGTAAATAAAAACATTTTTAATTTTTTATTCTATGTGTATGAGTGTATTGGCTGCATGTAAGTGCGCTCATGTCATTCAATGCCTGTGGAAGCCAGAAGAGGGTGTCGGATCTCCTGAAACTGGAGTTATGGGTGTTTGTTAGCTACCATATGGGTGCTGGGAGCCAA